ACAATGTCTAAATTGAAAGCAAAAGAAATGCATACAATGGGTAGTGTTGGTCGAGAAATGGGAGGGGCAACATTTCTATCCCTTTTCTTTTGAGTTTTTGCATCCTTTGCTTTAGATAATGCCCCCACCTCCTTTTTCGATTTTCTCTTTGTAGAAGTTTGATTTGCCATTAATGTCGGTGGATGCAAACTTTTAGACCTCTGTTCTGCCCAGTTGGGGTCTTCTGAATCAAAAATTTGATCATTGTTAGGTGTTATTATTTGGGAAATCCCAATAATAAAAGACGGATGATCCATTTTGACAACTGATCCAAAATCAATTGACACACAAAAATTGATTTTGAAAGAAAAATGAAGAAGATGATAATACCTAATTTGAACTTTGGACGGTTGAATAGAGATAGAATCATTTGAAAATCAAATTGCTTTGAATTCGGTAACTAATTTGGTAGTGGGAAAAGATTAGAGGCAAGATTTTGGGGATGAGAAAGGTGGGTTTTGGGTTCTTTCAGAATAAAGTATCCAGAATAGAGGGTTTGAGGAAAAATAGGGATTTTTGAATTTTTATGAAAGAATAGGAATTAAACGAGAATATGTAAATATATGTAGTGTAGTTTAGTAATTTTGCCAAATAAAAAAACGCCTATTTTGGGAAGGAAGGAGTAAAATCTTACCATTTGACAAGTGCCTGCATTAACATCACAGACAGGATAATCATGTGGACAGCAATTGTTGTTGTCATCACAGCAGGTAGCAGACTCATAAGGACAACATCCCCAGCCAAAACAGTAGTCGCCATACTTATAAATGCAGCAGCAAGTAGTGCCCTCGGTGCAGCTATAGTACTCATCGCAAACGGTTGATGGTGCTACAGGACTAGGAGGAGATGGACCGGGATTTGGAGGATTTGCGCCATTCTTAAGAGGGTAAGAGGGCTCCATTGCAATTCCACACTTTCCACTAGTGCTATTAGCTAAATTGCGCTCGAGCCTAATGTATCCACTTTCCCCCCAGTTAGGACCCCATGAATTCCTCACAATCCAGTAATCCGAACCATTATCTGTTCCGTAGCCAACTGCAACTACACCATGGTCTAGTTGTGTTCCACAGTATCCAGTGAAAACGCCCTTCATGATTTGAAAAGGAAAAAAAAAAGAAGTGTAAATGAGTATGGTAGTTTTATTAAGTAGAAAAAACAAGGCATTAGAAGCCGTGATTGCAGATTAGAGCCAATGGGTTTAGGCACAGACAATATATATTTTCAGAATTAGACATCCAACCACATACTAAAAGGGTACATTAAGAGAATTATTCTCATACCGAAGAGTAGTGCTGGAAAGCTCTGCCGAATATGAATTGAACCGTTTTTGGGCAAAGTCATGACATTTCCCAGAAAAAAATTCTTCACCAAATCCGAGGATACAAAATCTCAATACTCTATTGATTAGACCTTAAATTCAAAAAGTTGAAAAAGAAACAAACTTTACCGACAAAGATCAACAAATCTAATGAAAACAAACAGAACTTTCGCAAAAGATAAATAACTTGATTTCGCATCTTACCTATTTGAACTTTTGGACTTAAAAGAGTCCAATGGTAAAAACAACTGGAATGGGCCAGAGCCCAAAAACAAAGCAACAGTAGTCCAAAAGGATTAAAGGAAGCAGAAATGTAGGTTTTAAAACTTTCTTGAAATGTTTATAAGAAGGGGAAATTAGGCGATTATGCAAACATATACTCCCTCCTATATGTGAAGTAGTTTGACTGGGCACGGAGATTAAGAAAGAAAGGAAGACTTTCAAAATTTATGATCTAAAATGAATGATAGAAATTTCTGTAGCTATAAATTATTTCATCAAAGGTAAAATTTGACATTTTAAAGTTAAATTGTTACTTAATATAGAAATGTGTCCTTCTTTTTGGAACGGACTAAAAAGGAAAGTGAGTCATATAAATTCGGACAGAGGTAACATAGCTATAGTTTGTATTAACTACAATTCGGAACTTACTTCTAGCTATAATTATATTCCTCTCTCTCGCCTCCCTCCCTCTCCCCCCTCTCTCTCCTCTTTTTTTAGTCATCTCTCCCTGCTCAATCTCTCTCTCACTTTATACAAACACAAATGTATATTTTGTGTTTGTATTAAGCGAGAGAGAGATTGGATATATAAATACATATACAATCTCTCCATCTTATACACTTATAATTATACAAATACAAATCTCTCTCTGCCCAGTTCTCTTCTTCATCTCTCTCTCTCACTTTTATACAAACACAAATTATACAAATACAAAATGTATAATTTGTGTGTATAAAGCGAGAGAGATTGAATATATAAATACAAATTTTTGAACTCGATTCAATTGTAGACAGATACAAATTGTATGCAAATATACAAATACAATCATTGATACATATACATACTAATTACATATATACAATTATCTAACCAAAATACAAATACAATTCACCTCTCTACTCTCTTCCGGCCTCTCTTGCTCATCTCATGACTCCCTCTCTTGAAATCGCTTGCCTCTCTCTTCCCTCTCCCAATATCATTCTCATCTCTCCTCCCTCTCCCAGTCTAGCTCATCTCTCTCCTCCCTCTAACATGTAGCTACGAATCGTAATTAGCAAATTATAACTATAGAGCCTAATTAAATTATTTTGAGTGACTATATGTGAAAATTCCCCTTATAAGGACCGTTACTCGTTTATTTGAAATTTTTAAAGATTTTTTCATTGAGAAAAAACTTAAAATAATCATTTATCTTTGGGTTAATACTCAAAGTCATTCTTGAGTTTGGACATGAAGCACTAATAGTCCCTCATTTTTGCAATATTGATGCACTTTTGGTCCTTCCTCAATTTTTTGTCTAACTTTTTACATTGATTTTATCCATAATTTATATATGAGATGTTTAATCGCTTTTTTATATATTTAGTAGAAACAATAACTCCATGCGAGAGAAGGTAAGAAGAAGAATACCTTATTTTATTTAGTAGAACTATTATTGCACCTAAAACCGAGAGGTTAGTTACATCGATTTCACGTGCAATAGTACACTTTTTTCTTTTCTTTTCTTTTCTTTTCTTTTAACGTCATATGCCAAGATGTTCTTAGTTTAGCTGCAATAATATTTTAATTGAACAGAACAAGGTGTTCTTAGTTTAGCTGCAATAATATTTCAACCTAACAAAACAAGATGTTCTTCTTTTCACCTTTTTATTATTTCTACTAAATAAATAATAAAACAAATGAACATTCCATATATAAAAATGTGGACAAATTAATGTTAAAAAATAGGCAAAAAGTTTGGAGGAGTCTAAAATTTCACCAATATAATATTCCAAACATGAGAGACTATTAATGTTCCATATGAAAACTCTAGGATGACTTTGAGTTTTAACTCAAAGATAAAGAACTATTTTGGCCTTTTTCTCTTTTTCCATTAGAATCTTTTAAATTAAAGATTTCTTAATTTCTTTCAAAAATTAAGTGACTAAATTTGAAAGTAATTTTCCAAAAATAAAATAAAATATGACCATAACATTATTTATATTCCGCAATTTACTTGGTGACCGAAGAATTCGATTCCTAGGGATAGTAGGTTAGGTGGTAGCTTAAATAACCCAAGACTTGTGAGTCAATGGAATTTATTTTTTAAGTGTCAATTGTGGACAACGCTTAAAGTTTGTGGAATCAATTTTCTCCATAATCATTAAGTCATTTTGTGGACCACCCAAGAAGAAGACTTGAGTTAATCTTTCTTCCATTAGAACGACTTGGGAGTCAAATGTTTCATCATCATGGCAGTGAATGACAACGAATTAAAAGTTAAAAGTTTCACGGAGTGTCCTATGAGTTTTTAAAAAAATCATAACAAACACGAAAAAAAAAATTAAAAATGTTAAATGAATTTGTTCGACTTATTGTTGTTTTGATAAATTGATGATTGGAGTTTGTTTTTTAGGGTATTTCTGTCGATGTAAAAACTGACACAGGCTTCCAGCAATGGATCTTCTGGCCAGATTTTCTTTTCTTCATAATCCACAGTAAAATATAAGAATTATTTGGACAAAATGAAATCTCATTGAACAACTCCATTTATTCAGTTGGGAGAAAGGCTTGAGCAGAAAGGGTCATTTTCTAGCTTCTATACATACAGGTAAA